TAAAAGTAGTTCTCTTGCTACCATATATTGAGGGGAAAAACTATTTCAATTACTGGAAGGAATACATAACTCCAAGTCTATTTATTTTAATTTATTCAACTGTCTCGACATATTTGTGCACAGAACCTTTATAAAGTATGAATAAATTCACCTTGAAATTGTACCAATTGACTTTGGCTGAGTGAGGCTGTGAGAAGGAATCAGAATCACTTTTTGAAATAAACTCTGACAATGCTGATCACAACAAAGTGGCTACTCATTTATTAAACTGACAGCTCAGCAATTGTTTCAAGCAGAAGAGATGAAGTGGCCTGAGGTGTTAGCTATGGCCGGGGGTGATAGCTCTGCCTGGGTGCTTTTCCTGCTAGTCACATGTTCAGAGGTGTCATCTGATAGTGTGACATTTCCTAAGGCTCCAGCACCTGCCTGGATGTCAAACAGCTGGCATGATCTGAGTTCTGCATCCATTTTATAATGCTATGCCATGACTGACATAAGAGCTTGGAGAACAGACACCAAATTTTGCCCTCATCCTTTGGCTTCCCAGGGTTCCAATCAATACATGAATATAAGAAGAGTACTAGAGGAGATACAGAAGAAAGAGCAGTCATCGCTCTCAGCATGACACATTTCATGTTTAAAATGTGTAAAAGTACAATGCTCAAAAATATCCAAGGGGGAGAAATGATTTTGAATGCTTTCCGAATGTCAGAGAAAAGTAAGCTTAAAAGTGAAATTTATATTGATCACAGATTTATTATGTCTTAATTAAATACAGTATGTTGCCATATCTGTCTCTCTTGTAAAACTGTCATTTTCTCAAGAACAGTTTTTTTCACAGGATTATCCGGAATGCAAAGGATAATTATACTTGTTGTCTGGTGTATCAGTTCATCAATTGTTCAGTCCCACCCCCAGACTAAGTTATGAAAACAAATAACACTGAAAATTTGGTCGTCTAAATTTATCTAAAGGTCTGGGATCAAATGTTCCACATTAAAATACTATAAAACAATTTGCACGGAGAGGCTGCTGGAACTTCAGATGACTCTATCTATCTATCTATCTATCTATCTATCTATCTATCTATCTATCTATCTGTCTATCTATCTATCTATCTATCTCCCCCCTCTCTCTCACACACACACACACACACAAAATTGTCCCACCTCACTGCTTCTTGGTTTTTTGTTTTTTTTTTAAATTGTTGCTTCTAATATTATAACCCTGATTGGTATGGATTCAGTAGATTCAGTCACTCTCAAAAATTGCTTCAATCCCTATAAACCTATCCCTATAATTATGCTATATATTAGCAACTTATTTGGGTACCCTCAATATCTAGATATTCAGTAGGTGGATGTGTAAAATAGGTCTTATTAACTCTGATCAAAACTGGTAACTGCTTTCCAAACAGCTTTTTAAAAGTACATATTAGAGAACATGATTGTAAAATTAGACAAGACAATGACTGAATCAGACATCAAAATCCTGATACTTGGCAGATCCTAGGATACAGAAATTCAAATCCCCTAGTGATAATATCCAAGAGAATTCCAATGCCAACTTGACTGATAAGATCCAGAATCTCAGGGATGCTGGATCTCATCACTATTCCTAGAACTAACACACAGGCATTCACACTCTATCAGATCCAAAGCAGAGGCCCTAGTCCCAGTTAAGGGACTCTGTTTCTTAAAAACCATCAACCTCCTCCCATTCTTGGTACATCAATATAATTACATACAATTATCTCAGGACAGCAAATGTCCAAGATAATTATATTATAACCCTAATCCATTCAAGTATTAATAATATACACTAATTCTGTCTATACCTATACCTCTACTGCCAAAATGTGTCAGTATTACAAATGGTCCTAGTGTTTATTTGAGTTCGAGGCCACCAGAAATTTGCCCCCCTGGATCTAGGCATAAAATAATAGAGCTAGAGGAAAGGATCAGTATTAATTTGAGGATCTCCCTTCCCTTGTAACTGCTTGCCAGGCATTTCCTGCCATACCTCCACTATTGAAATTTGCTCATTTTCAACTCTTCACAAAAGTCCTCATGGCACAATCTATAATGAACTGTAGAAATAAGCTTGAAAAACAGACGTTGCAACCAAGACAACAGTCAGATGAAAGAAATTTGAGTCCTAGGCAAAATGTAATTTGAGAAAACTTATCAGACTTGACTCTTTCCATTTTAGCAAAGATAAAGGGAGGGAGAGGGAAGTATTTTACAACTTGCAAGAGGTATTTGCTGCAAGGGACTATGAATTCAAAAGATAATGGACAGCTTTATGCTAACAGGACAAAGGATACAATGCCATATGGTACTGAACCATTCTTCTATTAATTCAGTCTTATAATTTTACTAATTCATCTTTCAGCAAAGACAACAGCTGAACAACATAAAATAATAAAAATCAGTGTGGTGCAGTTGGTGATATGGGGGTTTAAGACAGGAAATTCAGGTTTGAATCCATTCTTGTGCCCATTTTTATTCTCTCTCTCTCTCTCTCTCTCTCTCCCAACTCCAATTTGTCAGACAAAGTTGCTGTTATGAGGCTCAAATAGTGGAATATCTTAACATAAATTACCCTGAATTCTTGGTGGAAAGATGGGATATATATATCTAAAAATAGATGGAAAAGTAAAAGTAGGCAATGTCTAATGCATCTATTCAAAACAACCTGATACCATCATTTATCAAGGGCAGTTGAAACATGAAAGAAGCAAAATATAAAAAAATGAGGATTACTCTACACGTATGTAAAGATGATCATCATATCCAAATATGAATTTCCTATTCCATGTGTTTATAAATGATAAACACTGTTTATATGTATTTATTCCTAAGAATTATTTCTTCAGACAAGCAAAGTTTGAACACCACCTATAAAGATGTTTTTGTAGCATATTATGGTATATAAATCTAATTATGAAAGAAGCATCAGTAACATTTGGAACCGATGAAAATGAGGCCAACATTCTGTTGGATGTGGGCTGGTGTTCTGAACAGTAATTTAAAGACACGAGGTAAAAAACAAAAAAAAATGTCATCAGTATTAGGCATTAGAAGAGAAAGGAAGGGGGAAAAAAGACCTTTAATGTAAAATGAGGTGATTGTGGAAAAGAAAATAGTTAAGCAGAAATTTGTCTCCTGGGGTATTCAATGCGGCAGAATGGCAGGAGATTCAGGATTGATAAAAAATAAATACTTGTTTACACAGCACATTGTTCAGCTACAGCAATCAGTACCATGAGCTGTAGTGATATTTGTTAAATAGGGTGACTTTAAACAAAGATTAGACAAACTCATGGCGAACAGTTTCCAATCATGGCATTGCCTCCAGTTTCCGAAACTGTTGAAGTGCTGCTGGATAATAAGAGCACAGAGATGTTTTTCTAGTGCCTGTAGGCTGTCCCCAGAAGCATTTAGTGAGATTTTTTGAGAACAGCATGCTGGACTAGATGGGCTTTTGTTCTATCAATAGATGAAGAAGTGTCAGTTCCGGCTGAATAATTTTCTTCAATCAAGAATTCCTAATAGCAGGAGTCCACATCATATTGCACCTTTCATCCTACTACGGTTTGAAATTGCAAGAGAGAAGAGGGTGGGTTTTTGAAGACTGCTGTTCTGAATGATTACATCTATGGGTGCTCCCTTACTTTAATTCTGTGTATGGCAAGGTTGGAAAACCTTATTTGAAAGCCAAAACACAACGTTTGTGTTTGAGCTCTTGAAAACCATCAGGAGGCTCCAATGAGGCTATAACAATTTTTATTTGTTAAGGTGAAATTATAACTTTTAGAGTTCAAGTTAAAATAATCAGTCTGGAATGCCAGACCCTTCAAAAAATACCTGGTACAGCTATATAACTCCATACATCTGGCATGATATCACAGTCTCTCCTTAGCTGTCCTTGAAGGCAGATACAGGAACATTCCCTACCTGGAGAGGCAATGTCCCTGTGACTCTGGTTATACAGAAACAACACAGCATGTGTTCCTACAGTGCTGCACCACAGAGACATTTGTGCCAGCCTCACTTCACCGATATTGTACAAATATCGGGGCATTTTTATACCTCTCTTCTCCTTGCAGATGTTAATCCTGCTACAACATACAATGTTGTCAGATTTTTGCATAGCAAAGATTAAAATCTCACAGAAGATGATCTGTGCCTCAAACCAACCTTAAGTATTTGACTTGTTGGTTAAGAGGTTTTTTTATTATTATTATCATAAATTTAATTAGACATATATTAACGCTTACATTGCTTTTATATTTACATAATATTTTATTCCTTTTTACAGTATTTTAGTTTTTTGTTTATACACACACACACACAGAGTATTGTTTAAAATGTTTTTTTTTTTAATTTTATGAGATATGCATATTTAGCATCATGAGAAATTTTTCCAGAGAAGGCTGCAATGGCAAGAACTACACATCACATAAGGAGTTAACAGGGATAAGGAGAAATAAAGATTGGGGCTAGGGGAAAAAATGTACAACAGCCCAGTCAATGTTGGCAGAAAATACTCTTGACAAGAGAAAGCACTCTCCTTTTTCTTAGCTACAGTATATGTGAAACCTTGTATCGTCAAAAGTCGGGGTGATTTATGCATGCCCAGGAGGTCAAAATCTGTATGGATGTATGCATGTATTCTCAATTATCTTTATAACTAAGAAACACATTTCTTATGGAATGCTATATAAAGAGCTTCAAAGTAACCTTCACCCTTTCCCTTTTCCTTTTAACATGAGATCTGAAACACACGCAAGTCTTCAACCATGGAAGACAGTGTAACTCAGAAACTGACCTGCACACTCCTCAGAGGAACTTTTAGTCTCAAGAGACAACAAATACGCATTCTTTTACTTTTCTCATGCCTGTAATTTTTTCCCCTCTCCTCTTACCAGAGTTACTGATCTTATGTCAGGTTTCATTTGGATGATTTTATAGAACATAACGTCAGTTTTACACAACTCTCAGGAATGTCCCCAATCTAGTTTAATTGTCTTTTCCCAGGTGTATCAAATTGAGTGACATTTCTTCTTAGATGTCTTTGCTATTAAAAGAAGAAGAAATGGAGCGTGTGTTAATATCTTTTTTTGCTGAAGCTGACATCCCACACATATGCACTAATGAATATCTTTACTATAGAATCATTATCTATCAGATTTTTTTTCATACCGATACCGTACATCATTATTGACATTTCACCATCTGATATAAATGTCAGTTTCTCCAGGCACTACCCTTACTTTCTCACTCTTCAGATAAAAGATTTATACAGGTTTTTTTTGACATAAATCAGTACCTCTATTTAATTTACAAGCCAAGTTGTTCTTATCTGATCATTGAGTCACATTCTTAATCAAATCCTATAACAAGAATTTTAAAAAAAGGCCAAGGTGCAAGTCATTTTACTTTACCTATGGGCTTGCTCATTCATTCATTCATTCATTCATTCATTCATTCATTCATTCATCACATAAAGAACACCTGACTCTAACTCATTCTGGGCATTTCATTCAACAAAAAGTCAGAACATGTTAACATGACTTGTTAACCTATCAGGAATTTAGGAGAATGTAGAAAATAGTATATCCTTCCACAAAGATTCTTGCTTTTTGAGACAGAGCCCTACATTTTATTAGTGAAGTAATAGTTTTATTTTTTTTAAAAAAAATAAAAAATGTTTATGGAAATAAAACATTTTTAAAAAATGAAAGGAAAGAGGAAAAGGTGATGAGAAAAAAAATAAAGAAATAAGAGAGAACTAGAAAAGACAGGTTATAAAGAAGTAACTTCAGATCTTCTTTACAGCAGTTAAAAATCTAATTTTATCTTTTCATAATCTACTCTTTCAAATTAACAATCCCATAAATCAGGGCCAGAGCTGAAGAAGCTTCTTGGATGAGAAGCAAAATGTCTTCAAGGAAAAAACAAAGACCAGTTGCCTTTTTAAAAAGCACTTTTAAGACAATCATGACCTGGATGATTGAGAATCTTCATAGAAATCCCATAAATTCCATTTTTCTTGTTTTCAGCAAAAAGTCATTGAAGATTTCCAGTCGCTAACAAGGTAATAGTTTAAAATTAGACTATTCTCTATTATAATTTGTGTTTTTATTTTGGATTTGATCTTTTTTTTTAGATCTCATTATAAGATGTGCTGGGCTATGGACACATAATATAAATAGAATATTAAAAAGGATTTTGTTTTCTAATTGCTGTTTCACATTTTTGACATTTGATCAAATGGTATACAAGATATTCATGAAATATGTCATCATGCCACATTTTTAAAAAAGTGTGTAATAAAGAATTAATTGCCAACTAATTATCTTTATTTCATTTTCAGAATATGGCACAGCATTTGAATTAATAATGACCATTTCATTTTTACATGATTGTCAATTTATAAATATTTGCCTAAGCAAAGATTTTCTCAGTGTGCAAATGTTAAGATGTAAAAGATAAATTGACAATGTTTTCTCAGACAAAAAAATAATGAAAACATATTTAATAAATTATTCATTTGTACCTACTGTGCATGATGATCACTAACAACATAGCATCTCTCACAAATTCATTTATTTTACTAGTTGTCCCCTGAAAAATGGTACATAAAGGTTAGTGGGTATAATGGCAATTGAGCTATTGCATTTCCATAACAGAAAGATGGAGCTTTAGAAATGTCAATTTTATAAATATTTTCTTTTCCAGATTAATTTCAGCCAAGTAATTCTGTAAACAAGTTTAATATTTCAAAAGTTGCATTATCTGTTTTCATCCTGTTTCTTTCAAATGATTATATTTAATGTTTAGGTAAACAATTCAAAGTATTTTGATGTTTCATAAATATTCTCGCAGCAGACTTTATAAACTTTAGAGCAAAAGGTATTATCTCCACATTTTAAATACAAGAATTCACTTAATGAAGTAGAAGCTTAAAATGTTCTGCTAGCAAGAATAATAGAATAGAATTCTTTATTGGCCAAGTATGACTGTAGACACAAGCAATTTGTCTTTGGTGCATATGCTCTCAGTGTACATAAAAGAAAAGATACATTCATCAAGAATCATAAGGGACAACATTTAATGATAGTCATAGGGTACAAATAAGCAATCCAATCATATTAGGAAACATATAAATCATAAGGATACCAGCAACAAGGTTACAGTCACACAGTCATAAGTGGGAGATGATGGGTAATAGGAATGATGACAAGATTAATAGTAGTGCAGACTTAGTAAATAGTTTGACAGTATTGAGGGAATTATTTGTTTAGCAGAGTGATGGCGTTCGGGAAAAAAATGTTCTTGTGTCTAATTGTTCTGGTGTGCAGTGCTCTACAGTGTTGTTTTGAGGGTAGGAGTTGAAACAGTTTATGTCCAGGATGCGAGGGGTCTCTAGTTATTTTCACAGCCCTCTTTTTGACTCATGCAGTATACAGGTCCTCAATGGAAGGCAAGTTGGTAGTAATTGTTTTTTCTGCACTTCTAATTATCCTCTGAAGTCTGTGTCTGTCTTCTTGGGTTGCAGAAACAAACCAATAAGACCTGAATGCAGGTAGTCCTCCACTTATGACTACAATTGAACCCAACATTTCTATTGCTAAGTGAAACTTTTGTTAAGTTTTAACTTTTGCTCCATTTCATAACCTTTCTTGCCACATTTGTTAAGCGAATCACTTCAGCTGTTAATTTAGTAGCAGGGTTGTTAAGTGACTCTGGCTTGCCTATTGATTTTGCTTGTCAGAAGGTCACAAAAGGGGATCACATGACCTCGATATTCCAATTGTTATAAATATGAGTCAGTTGCCAAATGTCTGAATTTTGATCATATGAACATGGGAATGTAACAACGGTCATGTGTGAAAAATATCACTTTTTTCAGTGTTGTTGTAATCTCAAATATCCATTATACAATTTACACTATATATTGTAAATGGAAGACCACCTATAGCAGTTATAAAATAAAAATTGATAGCTTATGGTATCAGCGACTATTTTACATCCTTATTTTCAGGGAATAGTTAATTAATGGATGTATTTATTTGTGCTGATAATTATATGTCCTGCTTGATACACAGCAGTTTATATTTAAACTAAAGTTTGTGCTTAGCATGACATTCTAAGGATGTGCCTAGATTATCTGTACAATATTTGAGCTGGGAATGAGAGGTGAATAAAATTGTAACTCCTCTAAACAAACAAACAAAAAAAATCATATCGTAATTGGTATGGATGCAGGCAACACTATTACATATGTTAATATCTCAGCATATCCACCACCATCTTGAAAACAGCTCCAAAATTTTTTTATTGTTGTTGTTCTTCCATTCCAAATTTCAGCAGTCACCATTCCAATTGATGATATAATAAATGATGAGATAAATAAAGGGGAGGAGGTATCTTTCTCTACATACTGAGTAATTGCTGGTAGACACAAAAAAAAATTCATTTTGTATCATTCATTCTGACATTTGTATTAGCAAAAAGTAGAACCATTCCTTGTCAAAGTACTGAAATTGTTCTTTAAGCTCTATCTCTTTTTACTGTTGTAGCTGTGTTGTAAGTTGTAGCTGGTAAGCTAATTGTTGGTAGTATTCTTATTCTTGTTCTAAATTTCCCTTAAATTTAGAATTAAAAACAATCCGTATCACAAGCCATCATATATGCAGCCTTGTAAAACAATACAAAGCTCATTTGAAAGTAACTTAAAAGCTGTGGGCCTAGTAAATATTTATAAAGGATACTGAAGATGTCAATAGAGAAGATGTCATTGGTTATATATTTATTTATTGATTTATTGATTTATAAAGCCAGTTGGTGTTGCACTAATGGACATCATAGCACCTTGTTATATTTCATTTTTAAATGAAAGCTCTTAATCACCAATTTAAAAAACAAAGGAAAGAAAGGATAAAAATGACAAGTTCTCTTTTTATATGTTAGACTTTTTTCTTTTAAAAAAAGAGGGGCAGGTGTGGTCATGGTGGGCATGACATGGGACACATGTCGGAGCAACCTGTGGTGGCCAAGTACTAATGCAGGACTACCTTGAAACTGTCCCTCACTCTCATTATCCTTCCTTCCTTCCTTCCTTCCTTCCTTCCTTCCTTCCTTCCTTCCTTCCTTCCTTCCTTCCTTCTTCTTCCTTCCCCTCTTTCCTTATTTTTCCTTCCTTGCTCTCTTCCCATCTTTTTCTTTGTTGTTCCTCTTTCCCTTTCTGTTTCCTGTCCCTTCTTGCATGCGCAAATGCAAAAGGGGAAACATTTTTCCTTTTGTTTCCTTTTGTTTTGTTTTTAGTTTGTTTTTATAGCCCTCTGCCAATGAAAATGGAGTTTGCACCCTGTTTTTGCTGGCAGATGGCTGTAGGAGGCCATCACATCCCGAAACAACTCCATTTTTGTTTGCAGAGGCATGGCGGGACAGTCCTTTGCTGTTTCCAGGCCGGCCCTGTGGGATCCCACAGGCCGGAGCCAGCCCCTGGGCCTTGAGTTTGACACCCCTGCTTTGAGAGAAGGTTGCTGATCCCTTTCTATGAGTAGGGAGTATGGGTCTGTAGGGGAGGCAAGGAGAGCGAATGATGAGATGTACATTATAAATGCAAACTCCCATTTTCTACATGCAATAGAGTTAATACATGGATGGGGCAGATCTTACATCACTATGCCACCATGCATATTTTATTTTTCTGATGAAATGTCCAGATACAATGGCTGTGTCTAATGGTGGAAGGATATTCCTCTTTCAAGTGAACAACTGAAAATGTGTAGTGCAAACAGGATAAATATGTAGATATTGGAAGATCTATAGTGTAAAAAATGAAACAAATTCCATACTCTGTTTGTGCACTTGCATTCTTCAATTGCTCCTTTCTTATAAATTTCATCACATTCATGATAAAGAACAAAAGTTGGAAGAATTGCAATATCAGCTTTTCCTAAGTCTATTGTAATGCACATAATACAATCATTTATATTACTTTCAATATCATATGTAAGGTAGTTTGTATTTTATTTTGGAATCACAAATCTCCTATAGGACAGCTTATTCATAGAAATGCTATAAGTGTAAGCTACAATTTGAACAACACTAAATTATTGTATAGTTAATTTAAAATAGATTCAGAAAAATATCATCTGGAAAACCTATGATGACACCGAAATAACGATGGCAAATAATAATAAAATGCTGTCGGATCTTTCACATTAAAATCAGTATCACAATACCATTATACCAGTTTGGAATATGTAATGATTGTAAAAAATGCTGTGTGTGTGTTTGTTTGTATGCGAATATAGCTCTTTCACAAATGATTAAAATGCAATCCTTGTACAGCATTACTCTGTATGGAATTGAGAGTTGTAACTAACAATTTAGGGTTCACAATGGCTAGGGGGTTAAAAATGCTGAGCTTATCAGATGGAAAGTTGACAGCCCAGGTTTCAGACCTGAGCACTGCATGATGAAGTGAGCTCCCTTTACCTGCCCCAACTAGCAGTTTGAAAGTAGGAAAATGCAAGTAGATAAATAGGTGCTACTTTGGTGGGAAGATAACAGTATTCTGTGTCGCTTGGTGTATAGTCATGCTGGTCACATGACCATGGAAATGTATTCATGTATTCAATGCTGTCTCCCTTTGCTAGGAAATGAAGATGAGCACTGACCCCTAAAGTTGGATATGATTGAAATCGGAAACCTTTACCTTTAAATAACAATTTAGATGTTATGGTTGATAATGTCTAAAATATATTGTCCTGAACATGTACTTTAGTTGGAGTGAGGCAGTATATAAATCTTATAAAAGCTAGCTCAGGTTGGCTCAGCTTAGCTAAGCTACACTAAGCTAACTGAGCTTCACTACCATAGAATGATAAATTGCCCTGGATTGTTTTAAATTTTCTTTTCTCTCCCCTATAATGGTGGGATAAAAATAATAATAATTTGGTTTCAGGTTTTGCTTCCTAATGAAACATTTCAAATTGTTTCAAAACTGAAAAAGAGGTTGCTTATAGTAGAAAGAAACTCAGATGTTTATCAAACATTTTGTTGATATCTCTGATGTTCAATTGTTTTAACATTATAAAACTAAAATGCTGAATGCTCTCGTAGTATAGACAGAAACTTCCGTAGACTAACAATCAAATGGCCATAAAAATGGGGTTGCCTAAAAGCTGGTAATTGAACAATTATAACTTTTTTTTTTTTACAAAGAATTAACTGACATTATTTTTTTAAACAATTTTGAAAAATCCTTAAGAGATCAAGATTAGGTACTGAGAGGGAGGGAGGGAGGGAGGGAGGGAAGGAGGGAGGGAGGGAAGAAGAAAGAAAAAGAAAGGAAGGAAGGAAGGAAGGAAGGAAGGAAGGAAGGAAGGAAGGAGACAGAGACAGAGACAGAGACAGAACTCATTTCACATGTTCTTCCTCCTCACTTTTACTATGCTAGTCTTTGTAAAATATGTCAGCCCATATTTGCTTGTTATGTGGACAGGGTGTCAGCTTTCCAGAAAAACCCCAACTCCAAGTAAAGACGCGGAAGCAAGCATTTTTCCAAAGTTTTCTTTACTAGAATAGGTAAAGTGGCACATCTGGG